AAATGTGTAGAGTACTACAGGGGTAAGTGTTCTACTCTTCTGTACATCTGCTATAGGGCATGCAGTCTAGCCACACCCAGCCTAGGCACATTTCTTCTGGGATAACAGAGCTTGGGAAAAATGTTTGCTTTGCTATTCCTCTGCTTGCAAGTACTTTGTTTTCCCCAAAATACTCTTATTCTTTGCATCTGTCCTTCTAGAATTAATATTACAGTGGAGAGCCAGATAATAAATATTTTAAATACATAGAATATTAGTATCAACTGCTAAGGAAAAATGAATATTGAAAAGGATGTATGCATTATGGAGGTTTGGATATAAATGGGACGGCCATAGAAGGCCTCATGGTGAAAGTGACATGTGAGAAAAGATATGCAAGTCTGTTTCTGTGTTGCTGTATACTTTCATTTATTTTATTTTTTAGATTCCACATGAAAGTGATGTCATACAGTATGTGTCTTTCTCTGTCTGACTTATTTCACTAAGCATAATGTTTTCTAGATCCATCCACATTGCTGAAAATGACAAAATTTCATTCTTTTTTATGGCAGAGTAATATTCCATTGTGTGTGCGTGGGTGTGTGTGTGTGTACACATACATACCACATCTTCTTTATCCATTCATCTGTTGATGTACAGTAGGTTGCTTCCATATCTTGGCTATTGTAAATAGTGCTGCTAAGAATATTGGGGTGAATGTATTTTTTCAAATTAGTGTTTTCAGTTTTTTTTCAGATACATAACCAAGAGTGGAATTGCTGGATCATATGGTAGTTCTGTTTTCAGTTTTTGAGGAACCTCTGTAATGTTTTCCATAGTGGCTGCAACAATTTACATTCCCACCAACAGTGTGCAAGTGTACCCCTTTCTCCACATCCTCACCAACATTTATTATTGTAGACTTTTTGATGGTAGCCATTCTAATAGGTGTGAGGTGATAGCTCATTGTAGTTTTGATTTGCATTTCTCTAATAATTAGTGATATCGAGCATATTTTCATGTGCCTGTTAGCCATCTGCATGTCTTCTCTGGAAAAATGTCTATTTAGGTATTTTGCTCAGTTTTTGATTGGGTTGTTTGTTTTTTTGATGTTAAGTTGTATAAGCTGTTTATATATTCTGGATATTAACCCTTGGCAGTCATATTGTTTGCAAATATTTTCTCCCAATTTGTAGGTTGTCTTTTTGTCTTGTCATTGGTTTCCTTTGCTGTGCAAAAGTTTTTAAGTTTAATTAGGTCCCATTTTTTATTTTTGCTTTTATTTCTTTTGCCTTAGGAGATGGACCAAAAAAATAATGCTATTATTTATGTCAAAGAGTTCTGCTTAAGTTCTCTTCTAGGGGTTTTATGGTTTTAGAACTTACATTTGTGTCTTTAATCCACTTTGAGTATATTTTTGTATATGGTGTTAGAGAATGTTTTAGTCTCAATCCTTTACATGTAGCTGGCCAGTTTTCCCAGCACCACTTATCAAAGAGACTGTCTTTTCTCCATTGTATATTCTTGCCTTTTTTGTTGATGATTAATTGAACATCAGTGTGTGGATTTATTTCTGGGCTGTCTGTTCTGTTGATCTATGTGTTTGTTTTTGTGCCAGTACCTTACTGTTTTGATTACTGTAGCTTTGTAGTATACTCTGAATTCTGGGAAGATGATACCTCCAGCTTTGTTTTGTTTTCTCAAGATTGCTTTGACAATTTGGTATCTTTGTGGCTCCATATGAGTTTTAGGATTATTTGTTCTAGTTCTGTGAAAAATGTCTTGGGTATTTTGATAGGGACTGCATTAAATCTGTAGAGTGCTTTGGGTAGTATGGCCATTTTAACAATATTAATTCTTCCAATCCAAGAGTATGGGGTTATCTTTCCATTTATTTGTATCATCTTCAGTTTCCTTCATCAATGTTTTATAGTTTTTAGACTACAGGTCTTTCACCTCCTTGGTTAAGTTTATTCCTAGTTATTTTATTCTTTTGGATGAAGTTTTTTTTTTTTACATTCTCTTTCTGATAGTTTATTATTAGCATGTAGAAAAGCAACACATTTCTGTGTATTAATCTTTTATCCTGCAACTCTCTGGAATTCATTTATTAGTTCTAATAGTTTTTGCACAGGTACTTTAGGGTTTTCTATATAAGGTACCATGTCATCTGCAAATAGTGACAGTTTTACCACTTCCCTTCCAATTTGGATGCCTTTTATTTCTTTCTCTTGTCTGATTGCTATTGGTAAGACTTCCAATACTGTGTTGAGTAGAAGTGGCAAGAGTGGCATCCTTTTTCTTGTTCTTGAATTTAAAGAAAAGGCTTTCAGCTTTTCACTGTTGAGTATGATGTTAGTTGTGGGTTTGTCATAAATGGTCTTTATTATGTTGAGTTATGTTACCTCTGTTCCTGCTTTGTTGAGAGTTTTAATCATGAATGGATGTTGAATTTTGTCAAATGCTTTTTCTGAGTCTATTGAAATGATCATGTGATTTTTATCCTTTCTTTTGTTAATGTGGTGGATCACATTGATTGATTTGCAAATATTGAACCATCTTTGAGTACCTGGAATAAATCCAACTTGATCATGGTGTATGATCCTTTTTATATATTGTTAGATTGGGTTTGCTAATGTTTTGTTGAGGAATTTTGCATCTGTATTCATCAAAGATACTGACCTGTAATTTTTCTTATTGTTGTCTTTGGTTTTGGTATCAGGGTAATGGTGGCCTTGTAGGATGAATTCAGGAGTGTTCCATCCTCTTCAATTTTTGGAATAGTTTGATAAAAGATAGGTATTAGCTGTTGTTTATATGTTCGGCAGCATTCTCCTGTCATCTGAGTTTGAACTTTGCTGGGAATTTTTTTTTTTAAATCACAAATTCAATTTTGTTACTAGTGATTGGTCTGTGCAAATTGTCTGTTTCTCCTTGATTCAGTCTTGGCAGGTTTATGTTTCTAGAAATTTGTGCATTTCTTCTAGGTTGCCCAGTTTGTTGGCATATAACTGTTCATGGCATTCTCTTATGATTTTTTGTATCTCTGTGGCATTGGTTGTTATTTCTTCTCTTTCATTTCTTATTTTGTTTATTTAGATCCTGTCTCTTTTCTTCTTGGTGAATCTGTCTAAAGGTTTATCAGTTTTACTTACCTTTTCAAAAAAACCAGCTCTTGTTTTCATTCATTTATTCTACTGTATTTTCATCTCTATGTTATTTATTTCCTCTCTGATCTTTCTTATTTCCTTTCTTCTGCTGACTTTGGGCTTTGTTTGTTCTTTTTCTTTAGGAGGTAGGTTAGGTTATTTATTTTAGATTTTTCTTGTTTTTTGAGAAAGGCCTGTATTGCTGTAAACTTCCCTCTTAGGAACTTAAACTTTTTCTGTATCCCATAGATTTTGCAAAATTATGTTTCCATTTTCATTAATCTCGAGGTATTTTCTGATATCCTCTGATTTCTTCAGTGATCCATTGAGGTTTTAGTAACATGCTGTTTAATCGCCACATGTTTGTTCTTTTCCCATTTTTCTTTCTGTAATTGATTTCTAGTTTCATACCATTGTTGCTGGAAAAAATGCTTGATATAATTTCTGTCTTCTTAAATTTGTTGAGTCATCTTTTGTGGCCTAGATGTGATCTATCCTGGAGAATGTTCCATGTGTACATGAAAAGAATGTGTATTCTGCTGTTTTGGGATGTAGTGTCCTATAGATATGTGTTAAGTCCAGCGGTCTGTTGTGTCATTTAAGACCACAGTTGCCTTATTGATTTTCTGTCTGAATGATCTATTGATGTAAGTCGGGTGTTAAAATTTCCTAACATTATTTTATTATTGTCAGTGTCTCCCTTTATGTCTGTTAGTATTTGCTTTATATATTTAGGTGTTCCCATATTGGGTGCACCTATTTTAATGAGTGTAGTACACTCTTGTGTTGATCCCTTTTTCATTATATAATGCCCTTCTTCGTCTTTTGTTATAGCCTTTGCATTAAAGTCTACTTTGCCAGATATGAATATTACTACCTCCACTTTCTTGTAGTTTCGTTTGTATGAAATATGTTTTTCCATCCCCTCACTTTCAGTCTCTTGTGTCTTTCTGAAGTGAGTCTCTGTAGGCAACATGTAGAAGGGTCTTTTTCTTTTTCTTTTTATCCAGTCTGCCACCCTATGTCATTTTTTTTTGCGGTGTGCGGGCCTCTCACTGTTGTGGCCTCTCCCGTTATGGAGCACAGGCTCCGGATGCGCAGGCTCAGTGGCCATGACTCATGGGCTCAGCCGCTCCACGGCATGTGGGACCCTCCTGGACCGGGGCACGAACCGGTGTCCCCTGCATCGGCAGGCGGACTCTCAACCACTGCGCCACCAGGGAAGCCCCACCCTATGTCTTTTGATTGAAGCATTTCATCCATTGATGTTTAAAGTAATTATTGACAGCTACACACTTATTGCTTATTATTACTTGTTTTCCAGTTGTTTTTGTAGTTCTTCTCTGTTCATTTATTCTTCTCTTTGTTTCTTCCCTTGTGGTTTGATGATTTTCTTTAGTAGTATGCTAATGTTCCTTTCTTCTTAGTTTTTGTATATCTATTATAGGTTTTTGATTTGGCATTACTATGAGATTCATATATGTTGACCTATAACTATGTCTACTTGTTTTAAACTGGTAGACATTTAAGTTCAAACACATTCTAAAAGATCTATGTTTTTAGTTCCCTTCCCCCACATTTTGTGTTTTCAAAGTCAGATTGTACACCTTCATGTTTATTCCCTAATTTTTATTGTAGTTATAGTTGTTTTTACAGTTTTTTGCTTTTGATATTTGTTCCAGAATATTTAAATGACTGATCCTCACTCCTTACTATATATTTGCCTTTCCTAGTGGGATTTTCCCTTTTCTATATATTCTTCTTTAACATTTAGTGAAGATCCTTTAACATTTCTTTTATAGCAGGTTTAGTATTGATGCCTCTTATTTTCAGCTTGTTTGAGAAGTTCTTTATCACTACCTTTGTTCTAAAGGATAACCTTTCTGGGTAGAGTGTCCCAGGTTACAGGCTTTTCACTTTCAGCACTTTGAATATATCATGCCACTCCCTTCTGACCTGCAAAGTTTCTCACCTGATAGACTTATGGGGATACCCTTGTATATGACTAAAGTTGTTCTTTTTTTCTTTCTCTTGCTGCCTTTAGAATTGTCTTTAACTTTTGTAATTTTGATTATGATATGTCTTTCCATTTAATTTAATTTTTTTAATACAGCAGATTCTTATTAGTTATCTATTTTATACATATTAGGGTATATATGTCAATCCCAATCTCCCAATTCATCCCACCACCACCACCCACCTCCTGCTTTCCCCCCTTTGTGTCCATATGTTTGTTCTCTACATCTGTGTCTCTATTTCTGCCTTGCAAACCAGTTCATCTGTACCATATTTATAGATTCCACATATATGCGTTAATATACGATATTTGTTTTCTCTTTCTGACTTCACTCTGTATGACAGTCTCCAGGTCCATCCACGTCTCTACAAATGACCCAATTTCATTCCTTTTTATGGCTGAGTAATATTCCATTGTATATATGTACCACAAATTCTTTATCCATTCGTCTGTCGATGGGCATTTAGGTTGCTTCCATGACCTGGATATTGTAGAGTGCTGAAATGAACATTGGAGTGCATGTGTCTTTTTGAATTATGGTTTTCTCTGGATATATGCCCAGTAGTCAGATTGCTGGGTCATATGGTAACTCTATTTTTAGTTTTTTAAGGAACCTCCATACTGTTCTCCATAGTGGCTGTATCACCTTATAATCCCACTAACAGTGCAAGAGGGTTCCCTTCTCTCCACACCCTCTTGAACATTTGTTGTTTGTAGAATTTCTGATGATGCCCATTCTAACCAGTGTGAGGTGATACCTCATTGTAGTTTTATATGCATTTCTCTAATAATTAGTGATGTTGAGCAGCCTTTAATGTGCCTCTTGGCCATCCGTATGTCTTCTTTGGAGAAATGTCTATTTAGATCTTCTGCCCATTTTTTGAATGGGTTGTTTGTTTTTTTAATATTGAGCTGTATTAGCTGTTTATATATTTTAGAGATCAATCCTTTGTCCATTGATTCGTTTGCAAATATTTTCTCCCATTCTGAGGGTTGTCTTTTCGTCTTGTTTATGGTTTCCTTTGCTGTGCAAAAGCTTTGAAGTTTAATTAGGTCCCATTTGTTTATTTTTGTTTTTATTTCTATTATTCTAGGAGGTGGATCAAAAAAGACCTTGCTGTGATTTATGTTAAAGAGTGTTCTTCCTATGTTTTCCTCTAAGTGTATAATAGTGTCCGGTCTTACATTTAGGTCTCAAATCCATTTTGAGTTTATTTTTGTGTATGGTGTTATGGAGTGTTCTAATTTCATTCTTTTACATGTAGCTGTCCAGTTTTCCCAGCACCACTTATTGAAGAGACTGTCTTTTCTCCGTTGTATATGCTTGCCTCCTTTGTCATAGATTAGTTGACCATAGGTGCGTGGGTTTAGCTCTGGGCTTTCTATCCTGTTCCATTGAGCTATATTTCTGTTTTTGTGTCAGTAACATATTGACATGATTACTGTAGCTTTGTAGTATAGTCTGAAGTCAGGGAGCCTGATTCCTCCAGCTCCGTTTTTCTTTCTCAGAATTGCTTTGACTATTCGGAGTCTTTTGTGTCTCCATACAGATTTTCAATTTTTTTTTTCTATTTCTGTAAAAAATGCCATTGGTAATTTGATAGGGATTGCACTGAATCTGTAAATTGCTTTGGGTAGTATAGTCATTTTCACAATATTGCTTCTTCCAATCCAAGAACATGGTATATCTCTCCATCTGTTTGTGTCATCTTTGATTTCTTTCATCAGTGTCTTATAGTTTACTGAGTACAGGTCGTTTGCCTCCTTAGATGGGTTTATTCCTAGGTATTTTTTTTCTTCTGTTGCAGTGGTGAATGGGATTGTTTCCTTAATTTCTCTTTCTGATCTTCTGTTGTTAGTGTATAGGAATTCAAGAGATTTCTGTGCATTAATTTTGTATCCTGCAACTTTATCAGATTCACTGATTAGCTCTAGTAGTTTTCTGGTGGCATCTTTAGGATTTTCTAAGTATAGTATTATGACATTTGCAAACGGTGACAGCTTTACTTCTTCTTTTCCAATTTGGACTCCTTTTATTTCTTTTTTTTCTCTGATTGCTGTGGCTAAGACTTCCAAAACTGTTGAATAATAGTGGCGAGATTGGACAACCTTGTCTTGTTCCTGATCTTAGAGGAAATGCTTTCAGTTTTTCAACATTGAGAATCATGTTTGCTGTGGGTTTGTCATATATGACCTTTATTATGTTGAGGTAGGTTGCCTCTAGGCCCACTTTCTGGAGACTTTTTATCATAAATGAGTGTTGAATTTTGTCAAAAGCTTTTTTGCATCTATTGAGACGATCATATGGTTTTTCTTCTTCAATTTGTTAATATGGTGTTTCATATTGATTGATTTGTGTATACTGAAGAATCCTTGCATCCCTGGGATAAATCCCACTTGATCATGGTGTATGAATCTTTTAATGTGTTGTTGGATTCTTTTTGCTAGTATTTTGTTGAAGATTTTTGCATCTATATTCATCAGTGATATTGGTCTGTAATTTTCTTTTTTTGTAGTATCTTTGTCTTGTTTTGGTATCAGGGTGATGGTGGCCTTGTAGAATGAGCGTTCCTTCCTCTGCAATTTTTTGGAAGAGTTTGAGAAGGATCGGTGTTAGCTGTTTTCTAAATGTTTGATATAATTCCCCTGTGAAGTCATCTGGTCCTGGACTTTTGTTTGTTGGAAGATTTTTAATTACAGTTTCCATTTCATTACTTGTGATTGGTCTGTTCATACTTTCTATTTCCTCCCGGTTCAGTCATTGAAGGTTATACCTTTCTAAGAATTTGTCCATTTTTTCCAGGTTGTCCATTTTATTGGCATAGAGTTGTTTGCAGTAGTCTCTTATGATTCTTTGTATTTCTGTGGTGTCTGTTGTAACTTCTTTTTCATTTCTAATTTTATTGATTTTAGTCCTCTCCCTCTTTTTCTTGATGGTATCAATTTTGTTTGTCTTCTCAAAGAACCAGCTTTTAGTTTTATTGATCTTTGCTATTGTTTTCTTTGTTTGTATTTCATTTATTTCTGCTTTGATCTTTATGTTTTCTTTCCTTCTACTAAGTTTGGGTTTTGTTAGTTCTTCTTTCTCTAGTTCTGTCAGGTGTAAGGTAGATTGTTTTTTTGAGATTTTTCTTGTTTCTTGAGGTAGGATTGTATTGCTACAAACTTCCCTCTTAGACTGGTTTTGCTGCATCCCATAGGTTTTGGGTCATCGTGTTTTCATTGTCATTTGTCTCTAGGTATTTTTTGATTTCCCCTTTGATTTCTTCAGTGACTTCTTGGTTATTTAGTAACGTATTGTTTAACCTCCATGTGTTTGTGTTTTTTACTTTTTTTCCCTGTAATTGATTTCTAATCTCATAGCATTGTGGTCAGAAAAGATGCTTGATATGATTTCAATTTCCTTAAATTTACCGAGGCTTGATTTGTGAGCCAAGTTGTGATCTATCCTGGAGAATATTCCATGTGCACTTGAGAAGAAAGTGTAATCTTCTGTTTTCAGATGGAATGTCTTATAAATATCAAGTAAAACTATCTGGTCTATTGTATCATTTAAAGTTTGTGTGTCCTTATTTATTTTCATTTTGTATGATCTGCCCATTGATGAAAGTGGGTTGTTAAAGTCCCCTAGTATTATTCTGTTACTGTTTATTTCCCCTTTTATGGCTGTTAGCATTTGCTTTATTTATTGAGGTGCTCCTGTGTTGGGTGCATAAATATTTACGATTGTTATATCTTCTTCTTGGATTGATCCCTTGATCATTGTGTAGTGTCCTTCCTTGTCTTTTGTAACATTCTTTATTTTAAAGTCTCTTTTATCTGATACATGAGTATTGCCTCTCCAGCTTTCTTTTGATTTACATTTACATGGAATATCTTTTTCCATCTCCTCACTTTCAGTCTGTATGTTTCCTTAGGTCTGAAGTGGATCTCTTGTAGACAGCATATATATGGGTTTTGTTTTTGTATACATTCAGCGAGCCTGTGTCTTTTGGTTGGAGCATTTAATCAGTTCACACATAAGGTAATTTTTGATATGTATGTTCCTATTACCATATTCTTAATTGTTTGGGGATTGCTTTTGTAGGTCCTTTTCTTCTGTTGTGTTTCCCACTTAGAGAAGTTCCTTTAGAATTTGTTGTAGAGCTGGTTTGGTGGTGCTGAATTCTCTTAGCTTTTGCTTGTCTGTAAAGCTTTTGGTTTCTTCATCGAATATGAATGAGATCCTTGATGGGTAGAGTAATCTTCATTGTAGGTTCTTCCCTTTCATCGTTTTAAATATACCGTGCCACTCCCTTCTGGGTTGTAGAGTTTCTGCTGAGAAATTAGCTGTTAACCTTATGGGAGTTCCCTTGTATGTTATTTTTCATTTTTCTCTTTTTGTTTTTAACAATTTTTCTTTTTTTTTTTTTAACTTTTTTTTTTTTTTTGGTACGCGGGCCTCTCACTGTTGTGGCCTCTCCCATTGCGGAGCACAGGCTCTGGACATGCAGGCTCAGCGGCCATGGCTCACGGGCCCAGCCGCTCTGCGGCATGTGGGATCTTCCCGGACCGGGGCACGAACCCGTGTCCCCTGCATCGGCAGGCGGACTCTCAACCACTGCGCCACCAGGGAAGTCCCTAACAATTTTTCTTTAATTGTTGTCAATTTGATTACTATGTGTCTCAATGTGTTTCTTGTTGTGTTTATCCTACCTGGGAGTCTCTTAGCTTTCTGGACTTGGGTGACTATTTTCTTTCCCATGTTAGGCAAGTTTTCCACCATAGTCTCTTCAGATATTTTCTTGGGTCCTTTCTGTCTCTCTTCTCCTTCTGGGACCCCTATAATGTGAATGTTGGTGCATTTAATGGGTCTCAGATAGTTCTTAGGTTGTCTTCATTTCTTTTCATTCTTTTTTCTTCATTCTGTTCTGGGGCAGTGAATTCCACCATTCTGTCTTCCAGGT